CACGAGCTGCTCCTAGCTCTTCTCGTGCTCCTCCTCCGGCACCGGCTGCTGATGATGATCTTGATTTTCAACAACTTATGCAAGATATCGACGATCACGTCCAGACGATGAGCCTACATCGGAACCAGTTCCACAAGAGGATCAAATGCCTCCATATTTTCGTTCGTTTTTTGAGATATTTGATCTACGGTGTGCTTCTATCGAATCCCACTTGACTGCTACTCAGGAAGCAGTAAATTAACTCTTAGACACTTTGGAAGCTCGACATATGGAATTTCAAAGGGAGATGCTAGCACGCATGGATGCTCTCTCTCTTGAGATGCAAGCCTATTTCCTCCTCCGTCTCCCGATCCCTCTATGGACGAGTAGACCTTGTTTTGTTTTGGAACATCTTTGAAATTTTATTGTTTAAACATTTTGAATACTTTGGGGATTATTATTATTATTTGGATTATTTGAATTTGTTTGAAGATATAATTTAGATGCTTTGTGTTTTTTGTGGTTTTTAAACTTGATATATATATTGGTTTGATTTGAATTTTTCACTTTGAGCTTAATATTTATTAATTTTTGCATCAATTTCATATTAGTTGCATTATGACCAATTATGCCATTTCACATTTGATTATGAATATTGATTATGAAACTAATGGCTAACATTTCTCTTGATTGTGATCTTAGCAGCTTAAGCTATATTACTAATCAATTGGCTAAATGTTTTTTTACACCCTTGTTTACATTTTTGGGTCTTTTTGAGTTAATAAAAAGGGGGAGAAATGTTAAGTGTTACAATGTTTTAAAAGGGGAGAAGTGTTATAGTAAGGGGGAGTAGTAATTTCAAAATTGATTTCAAAACTTATCTTCAAAGAAAATCTTAAAATTACACAAATGTTTTGTTATATCAAAAAGGGGGTGATTGTTGAAAACATTTTGATGTTTCGATATAACAAATTAAATTAAATGAATTTTAAGATTTCACAAATGATTTTGTAAGTATATTCAATTTAATTACTCGAATATCAAATTATTACTTCAAGACTTTCAAGATCAATTTCAAACCTTACTAAATGTGTAAAATTGTGTTTTATACCTAAACTATTTTTGAAACAATTTTCACAAAGTATTTTGAACCAAAATCAAGCCTAAAATCAAATTTTCAAAGTTATGCACGATGCACCAATCCATGCATCGGTGCACTAATTAATTTTTCAAACATTGAATGCATTTTATGCATCGATGCACATACCATGCATCGATGCACTCAGGCTTTTTCAAAACATCGAATGCATTTTATGCATCGATGCACTCTTAGTGCACCGATGCACTGAGAGTCCAACGGTCAAAATATTTGAATTTTACACTGATACACCGATGCACCTAGGGTATGCATCGATGCACTGACACTCCCAACTGCTTTAATTAATTATTTTCACACTTAAACGGCTCTATTGACTCCACTAATCATCCCCAACGTTTAGAATCATTTGAAGGTGTATTTAAACAAGTTTAGAAGTCATTGATCAAAAACAAGAAACAACAATCAACAAGAATCAAGAGAGAATCAAAGATAAAGCATCAAACCTAAAGTTTGAGCATTTCAAGCCTATTTTTCATTCAATATTCATTTTGCTTTCAAGAACACTACTTGTACTCAATTGTATTCATTTTTAGTGTTCTTTTCTTTGTTCTAGAATTGTGCAAACAATCTACCTTATGAGGATTTCCTTGTAAGTTTGCAAATTTGTAATCTTCTCTTTGAGAAAGAGTGTTCTCAAGAATTGGGGTATATTCTTGAGGGAGTTGTAAGGTTATCTCTTTGGCCTCAAAAGAAAGAACAAATTAGTGAATTTGTTGGAAAATCCTTAGTGTGATAACTAAGGTAGTGGACGTAGACTTTTGTTGAGAAAGTCGAACCACTCTAAATCGCTGTGCAAATCTTTTCAAATTTCTTCAAAAGCTTCCACCAAAATTTTAATTACCAATTCACCCCCTCTTGGCTGATTCCATCGATCGATTAACTCAACAAGAATGTTAAACGAACACTAAACGACGTGAATGTTAAATGAACATATTCGCGAATATTAAAGAGAACAATAAATAAACGAACACGAACCCCTTAAAATAAATAAACTAATACGAACATGATATTAAAATTTTAAACAAACACCTTAAAAATAAACAAACTAACACAAACATAACCTTAGTCGTTCAAGTACACCCCTAAATTTACTCATATAGTATGTGGGGTAATAGTTTTTATATGAGTAAATTACAAGATTCATCATTCAATTATTTTCTCACTCCTATTTTGGTCATTAAAGTTTAATTTTTTAATTTAATCACTTAACTTTTCAAATTACTCTTATTTTAATCACTCTAACTTTTTTTATTAATATTTTCTATGACATGACATTTTTTAATTATTATTTTATTAATATATGAATAAAATAGGGAAAAAATAGGGATGACAATATGACCCGAACCCGGCGGGAAACTCGAAACCCGGTCAAGTTCGGGTCGGGTTGAATGATATTGGGTCGGGTTGGGTATCGGTGATTTTTTTGGGTCGGGTTCGGTGCAAGGTATCCCCGCCCCGATTATATATATATATATATATATATATATATATATATATTTTATATTAATTATATATAAAATATTTTCGGGTTCGAGTATAATATTTCTGGTCAGGGTCGGGGACGAGACAAAAAAATCCCTGAAGGGGCACCCCGATAAAAAACCTGTCGGGGATCAAGTCGAGGTTGGGGATTCATTTCGGGTTTGGGGACGGGGCGAGCAAAACCTACCTCGAACCCGACCCGTTGCCATTCCTAGAAAAAAAGAATTGAGTTGGGGAGGCCAATAAGGGTGAGGCAATGAGAGTGGAGTGAGTAGTTTGTGATTTAGGGTTTGTTATGTAATTTTTTGTGTTTTGGTATAATTTTAAAATTTATTTTTTTAATTATATATCAATAAAATAATAATAATAATAAATGTGTGGTTTAGTGACCAAAATAAGAATGAGAAGATAGTTAAGTGATGAATAATGTAACTTACTCATGAAAAATGTCAGTTCTTTAGTTTTTAGTGGCTAGGTATTAAAATAAAACAAAAAGTTAATAGCGGGATACTAAAAAGAAACAAAAAGTAAACGTTATATGTGATTTTGCAAACAAATAAAAATTTAAATACTAAAACGGAACAAAAATAATAATTTAGATATTGAATATGTAGTTTACCCTAGGTTTTATTTATTCACAGTGATAATAATTTATTTTGTGAAAAAGGGTGTGAGCTCTAAAAAAGGAAGTGTAAGTTCAAAATAGGTGTAATTTGCTAATCCTACGAAGTCCACAATAAATTGAAGGCTTTTCCCCCCATTTGTAGAATAATTTAGAATGAATAAAAGAAATTATATTTAATTTGGAGAAGATAATTATGCAGTGGAGCCTTGGGTTTCCACGATTACACCTATAGAGTCAGTGATGAAAAAAAATTCATGAAGAAAGGGTTAAGGAAAAGGACAATGGGCCGATCCTCTCAAGTCCAAAGGAAAAAGACTCCATTCTTGCATTCAAATTCGGAAACAGTAATTACGCATCACGGACATAGTTTATTAATGGTCCCTTTCATTTTCAATCTCCATCAACTCAATGGCCCATCCTCAACACTATGAGGGTGTCGAATGACAGGGAAAACAAGGGGAAATTGTAGGCGGCCATTTTGCAAAACTCTACCAATTCATGATGAATGTATTAGGAAGAAGCTTCAAAGATGATCACAACTTATCTTTGCTGGGTCATATCAATAATGCTCACTACTAACTTTATCCATTTTTAGTATCGAATTAAATATACTTTTAACTATGTGAGAAAAAAAGTCTGTTATATTTGGTATATTCAATTCTCTCAATCATTTCACAATGAACATTTAATCACTTTATTACAGTCATCACTTTATTACAGTCGTTGGTGCTTGAACTTGTGACCTCTAAGAACATCAACGATTTCTTTAACCACTAAAATATGACTAAATTGAGAGAATATGTAAATAACATGACCAAATGTGTGATTATATCAAAAATATTTAATTGTTGTTAATGGTAGTTAACTCGGGTGGCCACAAATAAAAACGAAAGTAACTATATCTTGTGTTTTTTGAAATCAATGACCAAAAGTGAACAAAACACAAACATAAGTGATATTCGTGTAGTTAACCCTTTAAGTATTTGTTTTATTTTTATTTTTATTTTAAATTTAATATTAATTTTTTTATATAACTTATCTTTTATTATATTTTTTTTCTTTTATGCATTCGCAACCAATATTTTTTTAATACTTATATTATAATATTACACACATATAATTTTAACTTTTATATAATATTAAATATATAACATATAAAAATAACATAATATGATATATCATAAATTTACAAAATGGATCAAACCTTGAAGGTTGGAATTTGAATTCGGTTCATGTTTTAAACGAAATTAGTTTTATTTATACAAATCAATATTTCAAACATAATATTTTTATCCAAATTCTCTTCAATTCTAAACAAACCTTCATATGTAGAGAGATAAAGAAAGATGTTGAACAAGTCTAGTATTGATCGAGAAGTGTCATCCAATATTGGGTGCATCGTGTCCGCCTCTAATATTTGGTAGGGGCTTGGGCTTCGTGATGTTGGATCTGGCTCACTACTCGATTGACATGAACCCAAAGCACTTTGGGGTTCAATCGAGCAAGTGAACCATCTATTGCGAGTTGAAGCTAAAATGCATCTCAAATCATTGTTGTTTATTCAATACTCACCACTCCCCTCATAAATGTCCTTTTTTTTCAGACAACAAAAGCCATTACTTATTACCAACAACCATGTCAAACATGCATTGTATCTTATCTTTATTTTTAATTTTCTGACTGCCGGAGGTCTTCCACGGAAAATACTCTCAACCTGACGTTGGGGGAAACCTACTACCCTACCTCTCCTTACCCAATTACATTTGGAATAGGGTTTTGTTGTTGTTATCGTCATGTCAAACTAAGTTTTTTATTTCTCCAATCTCTGAATAAGTTCTAATACATGAAAACAGTAAATTCCCAACCTGATCTTCAACAAATTAGCCTACGTTGTTCATGCAGCTGCAGAACGCCCTGTAGGAACAAATTAGCCTACGTTGTTCATGCAGCTGCAGAACGCCCTGTAGGAACAAATTCATTGTAATAAAATGTGACAGCTTTGGTATAGATTAGTGGCCATAAACGGTCACACTCTCCGGCTTCCAACCATCATGTCCGTTCCTGTAGGGGTAGAGATAGCAAACCTGGTATGTGCAAGCCCCCTTTATTTGATGTATCAGTTGAACACCTTCCAAACGTTCTTGTGTGTGGATCATCTAGCCTCCGTACATACACCTATTCATTCAACCAATACTCGGTTTCAACTGAACCCACCCCCTCTCTTTCCCAATTTCACCATCCCACCAAAAAAAGGGTATAAACATCTTTAGCAGCCCCATTTCAGTGATTATTGTTTTTGGTTTGAATCATTAGAAAGCAATAAAGCATATGAATATATATAAACATACTTGATTTTCATAAGCATCGCCAAATGCAAGACTGATATGATCTCGTGTATAGGCAATTGAGGAGCAGCTTGTCCTTATTGATACTGTGTAAGAGCAGCTCCCCGTATTCTGTGAAAAAAGAAGTAAAAAGTCTAACTAAAACCGACACCATATTTGTATTTTCCTGGAAATTTCATGAACATTGAAGTTTGATTTCCCAGCAAGATTTGTTCGGAAGAAACTTAAACTAAAACGATCCCCTGATCAAATATGTTTTGAAGGCATGGATGGATGAATGAAATCATATCCGTACCTGGGTTGCATTGACCTTGAAGGAGCGGAGAGGCAGAGGCCGAGGGAGGAAAAGGATGCGCTTAGCATCAGCTATGGTGAAGAAGATGAAAATGAAGGTGAGTAAACAGATCAATGCTCTCATCATCTTCCAATATACAACGAATTTTTTTTTTATGGAGAAGCGAAAATCGAATAATTTATATACCGGAACCAAACAACTCACTATATATTATATAGCTGTGAGGTTTATAGTACTAGAAAGGGTACATAAGTCTTTTGGGTTAAGGAAAAAAATATCACTGCATTTCCAAATGTCTCAATTTTGCCCTTATTATCTTGGCCGTACCTGCGTGTTTATCGTCATTCGTTATTTTCAGTGCGTTCATTAGGAATTTATGACTCTTTGACGTAAAATATATAGTGAGTTGTTTGAGTTTGATTAGATTAAAATTTAATAAATATTTAAATTAAATTTAAATTATATTTAAATTTTTAATGAGTCAAATTAAATTATTTGATATTTGATTCGAAAATTTATGAGTAATTCATAAAAAACAATATATTAAAATTATATTTTAAAAAAATTATTAATAATCTTACTATTTATGTATTGATTTTTTTTAAATTCAGTATAAAATTTTCATGTAATTAATGTTCAAGTTTGAGTTTGAACTTTAATCGAATTTAAGTTTAATATTCTTTTTATTTTAAGCCTTTTCGAGTTCAAATTGTGTTTTAATTCATGGTTTCAAGTTCGAGTCGAACTTGAGAATTTTAAGTTTGCTAGCTTTCAAACCAATTCAAATATTATTTTAAATTTTTTTAATCGAATTGAGCTTAACATTATTTAAACTTGACTCGACTCATTTACTAACAACCTAAAATTATGAAAATTACACTTGAATTTTAGAGGAAGTAAATCGTTAAATTAATGACTTACATAGCGGGTTGGTTTGGATATGGTCAACCAATATGCTCATCAATTTATTCTATATGTTGAAATTACGTGTACCTAATACCAATTATTGCGGGACTAACCTTTTTCCCCCGTTAAGATCATAAATTAAATCATTAAATTTACAAGCTTTAAAAATTATGTTAATAAAATTCCTCATATATCTATAAAGTTTAAATTCTGAGAATATTGAGAAATGATCACGTACGGTAGCCTTATACGTTAGTATATACAATTAATATTTTCAATAAAATAAAAATTTTAAAAATTATGGTTGGAAAAAAATTGAAAAATGAGATTGTTTAATAATTATTTTGAGGTTTATATTATTATGACGTACGTGAAATTTATTACGAGGATGATGAGTTTTAATAAAATATATTAGAAAATAAAATTATAGAAACATCCAAAAACAAAGAGATTTGATCTTTACATTGCTGTGGAAGACCCACATTAACGTGGGCCTCTCAATTTTTTTTTCTTGGACAAGTAGTCCAATGCTTTAATTCTAGCAACATAATAAATTTAATTGGAGTTCAACAATTTTAATATTTGTTTATAATTTTTCAATCATAATTTATAAAATATAATTATTTAAATTCAAAATTTCAATAAGAATAAACTTTATTTAATAAATAAATAATTTAATGAATTAAAATATACAATTTTAAGACAAATGAATTATTTAAAACAAAATTATAATACTAACGTAGAAATAACAATAAATTTTATTTATTTTAAAAAAGTTAAAAATAAAAAATAGATGAGTCAGTCTGTACTTTATTGCCTTATTGGCAGGCACGAGTTTGGTGGTAATAAGAAAAGACAAATGGTTTAAGGGAACAGTTAAACCGGGGGGAAGCTTAAACTAAAATCCTTTTGGACTATCTAAACTCTGCTTTTTCCTCACTTTCCTTTTGGTTTTTCAAATATTTTCTCCTTCAATTTACCCAAATACTGGAAAAGAAGATTGATAAGAAGAAGAAGAAGTGGAAATCAAAAGAATAAAACAGAAATTAAGACTCAAAAAGGCTTAATCAGTGAAGGCCAAGTTTTCAAGCAATACACTAAATAAAACCAAGAAAAGAAAACCCAATTTGACCGCTTTACCGGTAAATTTATTCTCTTTCCAAAAAAATAATAATCAAATATATACTTATTTTTGGTGTTATGTCTATTCGGTTTTGTTCCATTTCCATAAATTTGATTACCTTTTGTTTCCTCAAGGTTTGGTCTTTTATTCAGGAAATCAGATTCCCATTGAGTTGTAGATCTATTTAGCTTCTGATAGTTCTTGTTTTGTATATATGGGGTAAGTTTTCTGGGTTTCTCCCCCTCCTATGATTTTACTATGTGGCTTTTTGTTGATTTTCCTTGGTTGGATATGTTTGTATATTGGAATCCTCTTTCATTAGTTTGATATGGACTTTGAGTAGATGGAAAACTTCCATTTTCCCCCTGTTGCCTAGAAATTTGCGAGTACTGTGTTTTTCTTTATTAGCTTTGAATTCACCATTCACTGGTAAACATTTTGGGCATTATTGTTGAAGGTCAATGCATTGTTTCAGTCATAAATTTAATTTGTTGAGTTTTCAGATGAAATTTCCAACATACTACCTTGAAGGGAAGCTTACTTTAGAGGGGCATTTCCTGTAGGTGTTATACCTAATTAACTTTGTTTCAACAAGTTGTTCTGTAGCACTGTGACGAATACTTCTGCTTAGTAATAGATTTGTTCCATGAATCAAGTTTGAATTTTATTCACATTTCCTTCCCAATAGATGAATCTAATAGGTTTATTAATATCAGAAGTACTGCATATTTGTATATGCTTTTTGTTTTTTTATATAGTTATGCTGGGTGAGACAAAAATAAGAGTTAACATGGACTTGAGTTACTGTAAGGAAATATTAGAACTGAAAGTTTTTGGTTAGGTTGGCCTGAAATAGAGCACGTGGAATTGGAGTTCAGAAAAGAAGGAATGTTCATGGAACAATAATAATAAAATGCGAGGAAAAAAATTATCATAAACTAATCAGATGCTTTGGCCTAATCGTGTAGAATGATGGTGTCATCAGTGGAGAAGTCAACTTCGGGAATTGCAGGTACAGATGCTAAAATGGAGAAGCCTTTTAGAAGTTGTGTGTGCAAAAATACTTCTTAAGATCAAGTGAAAGTTCTTCAGGGCATCTTGAAAACCAGCATTGCTTTATGATAGCCAGAGTTGGGTTTTTAAGTATCGATATATACAAAGTGGTTAGTGCAGCTGAGACAGGGGTGCTCCAATGGGCATATGGAAGTGAAAAAAATAATAGGATTATATGACACATGCAGTGGAGAAAACACGTGGTTGGTGCCTATATGGGATAATATGAGAGACCTGTTAAAAATGGTTTGGGTGTGTGAGATGAAAAGCCTAACAATGTTTTTTTGTTAGATTATGTCCTTTAATGGGAGAGTAATCATATTCAAAAGGGTAGATTGAGACCAACTAGGACATGGGTGGAAACTATATGGAAGGACCTAATTGTTTACTTGGGATATGGTCCTAAACCTATGCAGTTGGAGAAGGCGTTTTTGTTGTTATATTACTATGCGCTTTTTGGCTATTTAAGCTGTTTCTTTGATTCCTATGACCTCTTAGCAAGTTATTTCATTTCGAAAGAGATGTCTTGCCATGCTGTTTATCTGAATTTATGTAAATATTATTCGATACCAAACTGATGAACTTACAAGCAGAGTTTAGGCTGAGCTTTAGAGTTTTTGGTGGCTGGTACTAATCATTTATACCACTGTTTGTGATTTGCAACAGAGCAGTGGTTGTCTAGGATGCTGTAACGGGCCCATTTTCAAGCCCTTTTTTAATGAGACATCAAAAGGGCTAAAATCTCAAGGACAGACGGTGAGTAAACCCAGTATATCAGAAGGTTTCTGGACCACTAGCTGTGATATGGATAACAGTGCCATGCAGTCACAGGGAAGCATCTCCTCAATCAGCGCAAGCAACCAGACACTTGATCCAAATAGAAGTGCTGCAAGTGCTAATGGCCCATCCGAATTTGTAAATCATGGCAAGTTATCAGTTCTTAAGTTACCTTGGTTGGTGTTGGAATAACAGCTCTATGAACAGTAAAACTTCATAAGGAGTACCTTACTATCTGTATAGTCCTGTTTGGACCACTTTTGGCACTAAAACGAGGCTATGTTTGCACCATCTTCTGACTGCTCGTAGGCCTTCTTCTCTGGAATCAGACTAGGCAGCTCTGGGTAGGAAACAAGAAGTCTGAAAATCAGCCTGGACAGGTTCGAGAACCAAAGCTAAAGTGAGTTCTTATCCGAAAAAATATAATTAATGTTTTTATCATTCACATGGTTTTAAGATCTTTAACTACTCATTCTTCTAATGAACTCTTACTCACTTGCCAAATTTTTTGTGCCTATATCATTGTATTTGCAGTTAAGAAAATAACAGAGAGGGCATCAAGTATTTTTTTCCCTTTTATTATGCCTATTGTTTACACGTAGGAGGCATCCAAATAACATTAGGTCACATCTTTATTCTCCATGTATTCATTGCCATAGCCTGTAAGATTGAAAGTTAATGTTTGTACATACATGTGACACCTACAATAATTCTTACTGCCTGCATCATTGCTTGATATTTTAAGACTTGTGTCAAGTATCCTGATTTTAGTGGATTCTAGGTGCTTGCCGTACTGATTCTGTAACTTAGGTTAGTAAAGTTCGAAATGGAATTTTGTCTGTAGTGGGGGAAGTCCACTTCTGAGATGTAACCCTTAAATTATGTTTGAACTTCCTTTTCCTTATCTTACTCATTGTCGTTGCATGGTTAAACCATTCTGGCATTGCAGTTGGAATGCAACTTATGAAAGTTTACTTGGAAGCAACAAGCCGTTCCCTCATCCTATTCCTCTTTCCGTAAGTCCCAGCTCCAGCAAGCTGAGCTCATAGAATCGTAAATTGCTGGCTTACCTGATTTGTGTTGTCCTGAAATTTGACAGGAAATGATAGATTTTCTGGTGGACGTCTGGGAGCAGGAAGGATTGTATGACTGATCAACGGTATAACAACTGGCATTTGGAAGGTGGTTAGATATTAATGTCCATCTTAATTATTGTTACATTTTAATTGGTTCCACAGGGAAAACGATTGAGCATCTCGTTTGTATGTCAACTGTAGCAATTTCAGGATCTTGCTTGCCTGTGGTTCCCTATTTTCTCTCTTTTTTTTCCTTCCCGTCAAATCAATTGACCTCTTGGACTTGCCATTGTATTGCATTGGAACTAATCCAAAAACTTGCTGGCTGCCTCAGGTGTTTATGAGAGCATTTTTTTATGGTTTTCGCAAAATTTCTTCCTTAGGTTATTGACAAGTTGTGTTTATAAAATCAATTTTTCCTATTGCCAGTGAATCCGACAATAATCCTACTCTAAAAATGAGAAAATGCAAAGCATCTTATGCCTTTCCCTTTAGAACACTCCACAACGGTAACAGTTTAATGTTTGAGAAGGTCCGGGAAAAATCCTCTCAATATGTTAATAAGATGGTACCTTTTTCGAATTTTCCATGTGTCTCCACCACCTCCTTGAAGCCTAGAGCCTCGCAGAACATTCCTCCAAACTTAAATATCCAACACCTCTGTAAGTTTGTCCTAGATTTCGTCCCCCAACATCAACACTTGGAGATAAAACAGGTAACAAACAAAACTGTCACCACTGTCTCAATCTGCCCGCCTAGGAACTTCCAAACATCCGACACACACACGCACCATACCATTTTTTTCCTGCAATAAACAATGGCAGTGGCCCGTTTGGCTTTGAGAAATTTGCAACAAATGGTGTCATCGTCTTCATCTCTTTTGGGTCATAATCTTGGAGAGAGGAGCATTGGTGGGGTGCACAGACAAAGGTGGAATGATGAGATGTTGAAGAGGTTTATGGCAACGGTTACTGATAAGGACTCTGATGACAAACAAAAACAAGTATCTGTTTCAGATGGTGAAAACAAATTCAGGCTTTTCCCTGGGAGGAGGAACCTTTTGAATTGGAGGAATGAACAAAATGATTATGCTCCTCCCCTTTTTGGTAAATCTCTTGGCTTTCAAATTCCTGCTTAAATCTTTTATTTCTTATCTCGTTCTTTTAAGAATTAGTTGACCCTTTTTCTGTTTCTTAGAATTCTTTCCATCGGGCCTTGGAGATGCACTGATGCAAGCAACTGAGAACATAAACAGGCTATTCGACACCCTCGACTTGACGCCATTCCAGTCGATGGCACGAATAAAGGAGCAAGACGACTGCTATAAAATGAGTTACGACATACCAGGGCTAACAAAAGAGGATGTTAAGATCACCATTGACGATGGGGTTCTAAACATAAAAGGAGAGCATAAGGGAGGAGGAGGTTCCGAGGAAGATGACCGCTGGTCTGCCAGGAGCTATGGCAACTATAACACAAGCCTCGTGTTGCCTGATGATGCCAATGTTGATGATATTAAGGCTGAGTTGAAAGATGGTGTGCTTTCTATCATCGTCCCCAAAACTGAACAATCCAAAAAGGATGTGAAGCAAGTTCAAATCAATTGATAGGTTCATGTATGAACTTGATCAGTACCTTCCTTACGAGTTTCGTTTGTCATGCTGATGCTAGGTATTTTTGTTCGATTTCGCAATGGCAAATAAACAGTTTGAAGTTATGTTGCTAATGAAATTTAACTCGTATTTTGTTGGTTTTATATTTATATTTAATGTAAATATATAATATAATAGATGGTTTTGTATCATACGTAATAAGTTACTTGAGTAAAATTTTTAAAATGTTGACAAATATAAATTTTTAACTTTTTATTCTTTAATTAATAATTCATCAAGCATTTTAGTAGTTAAAATAGTTAAAAGAATGTTATTTTTTTTTAAAGATTTTGGGTTTAAATAATTATATTTACAATGTGTGTACAATGCTAATGATTAAAAGAAATTATAAATAGACATTATTCTGTAATCATCTTAAATTATTGGCGTAATTTGAAAGAAGAAAACGTATAATAACGAGGCCCAAAACACAAATCGAGCCTAGCAGCTCCAGCCCATCAGTTTATTGCTCATTCATTGCTCATTCATGTAGCTTAGTAATTCTAGAAGTTTGCTAGAAGCTAGGGTTGTTTGTAATCTGTTGAGTTTGTTATATGTCAGTTACAAGACGGTTAAAGAAATAACAAATCTGTAATGCTGTATATAAGGATGTAAGGAGAGCTGATCAACACAATCAACTTACTTCATTCAATTTACATGTATTCTTGTTAGTCCTTTACATGGTATCAATCGCCATTGATCGTGGGATTTTATGCTCTTACTTCTGCTCGTAAATAAAGGTTCTTGAAGTTCAGCTCATTCATGGATCTTACCTCGTCTGCAGCTCGAAGATTCTCCAACAAGAGAGTTAATGTGGTTCTTGATGAAACCAACTTCTTGCTTTGGAAACAGCAAGTTTTACTCACAGTTAGGAGTCATCGGCTGGAGCGCTTACTAACTGGTGATGTCTCTTCACCGCCTATGACGGTTCTTGATCCAAATGGTGAGACGCGAGTGAATGTAGAGTACGAGGATTTTGTTGCGCAGGACAGTGCGTTGGCATCGTGGCTTCTATCAACGATGAGTACGCATTTGCTACCACAGTTCGTTGGAGCAGAAACAGCTGCTGTTGTTTGGGAAACAGTTTTAAAATTCTTTGCAAATCGCTCGACTATGTCTGTTATGAGCCTACATTACAAATTGCAGTCTATAAGAAAAGGTAATGATTCTATGAGAGTATATCTCACACGCATCAAGGAAGTATGTGATGCTCTTGCCTCGTGTGGAAGTATTGTTTCAACAGTCGAGCAGATTGTGGCCATCTTGAAGGGCCTTCCTCGTGAATGCCAGCCCTTCATAGCTGTTGTTTCTACTATGAAGGAGGACTTATCAATTGATAATATCTACACTATGCTGATGGATGTTGAGGTCCAGATTGCGGGCTTTGATGAATGTCAGGACATTCTACCAATGTCTGCCAATTATGCTCAAGGAGATACTGATCGTAACGTCTCTAACCATCAAGATCATAGGGGCAATCGTGCAACATCATCTTCGTCTGGATCGAGGAATGGTGGTCGAGGGCGTGGTCGGTCACGTGTTCAATGTCAACTCTGTGGGAAGCTAGGTCATTTGGTTGACCGTTGTTGGCATAGATTTGATGAAGACTTCACATGTGTTAATACCAACTATTATCACTCGTCCAAGGACAGTTCCTCTAGTAACTATCCCTCGTCTGGTTCAGTCTCTACCAGTGGTAACCAAGGCTGCGAGAGTTGCTCACGGTTGAAATCAGACTCTCAAGTAAACATGGCTACTGTATCCTCTGAACGTTGGGTGGTGGACTCGGGTGCCACGCATCACATCACCCCAGACAAAGCAAATCTTACAAATGCCTCTGATTTTCTTGGACCAGGTAAAATTACAGTTGGTAACGGTGTTTCCCTTGACATTCAAACAGTTGGTAGGTCAATCTTACCTGCTAAATCCAGAATTTTGATGTTGCATGATTTGTTGTATGTTCCCCATATAACCAAAAACTTGATTTTCGTTTCGAAGCTAGGGATAATAACATATTCTTTGAGTTCTATGCAAATAACTGCTGTGTACGTGATGAGGTTTTCAACAAGTGCTTCTAACTGGTGAAGAGTCTGGAGAGCTTTACTCATTTATAGCAAGTCACACTGAATATAGATGCACTGCTGCTGATGTTTGCTTAGTTACTAAATCTCCTACTAGTGAGCTCGAGGAGTTATGGCATCGAAGACTTGGCCATCCCTCTACTGAAATACTGAGACAAATAACTAAAGAGCTTGATGTAAAATTTTCTTTAGATTCTAATAACACATGTACTGCTTGTCAAATGGGAAAGAGTCGCAGATTACCGTTTATGCATTCTACCACAATTTACGATACCCCATTCAACTTATTTTCACTGACTTATGGGGACCTCCACACATATCCTTGAATGGATTCAGGTATTATGCTTTATTTATTGATGCATGTACCAGACACACATGGATCTATCTTCTCAAGTATAAATCTCAGGCCATTAAAGCATTTCTATTATTCCAAAAGATGGTATCAACACAGTTTGGTGCCTCCATTAAGTCTGTACAGAGTGACTGGGGAGGTGAGTTTCATAACCTCTCCCCACTTCTAGCCAAAGATGGTATCATTCACAGATTGTCCTGTCCTCACACATCCGAGCAGAACGGAGTTGTTGAGAGAAAGCACAGGCATTTGGTTGAGATGACTCTTGTATTACTGGCATAGGCAGCACTACCACTGAAGTTTTGGTCATATGCAATTATTTCTACTGCTCAGTTAATAAACAAACTGCCTACTAAGGTTTTGCAAGGGCTCTCCCCTAGTGAAAAGCTATTTGGGAAGAAGCCAAACTATGATGAGCTCAAGGTGTTTGGATGCCAATGCTTCCCTCATTTAAGACCCTTTCAAGCTCATAAACTTTCTTTTCGATCTCAACCATGCACTTATCTCGGTGTTAGCCCCCAACACAAAGGCTTTCTGTGCCTGTCTGCTAATGGAAAGGTCTATGTCTCTAGGCATGTAGTCTTTAATGAAACTATGTTTCCTTTTGCAGGTCAGGTACCCCCGGTTATATCACATGTGGTTCAAAATCGCTGCTCTTAATCCCTTGAGATTGTACCACACAGACAGCTTGTACCTGTGCAGGAGTCTGCTCATCCGAATACTCCAGGCATTTCTACACCAGGAGAAACATCGCCCTTCAACATGGATGATGTTAGTATGGAAGAGGAAGTGGGTGAGTCTTCGAATGATTTCACTAACGTGAGTGGTGGAACCATGCCTGAGAACAATCATGTTGAAGAAATTATTGGAGAATCCTCTCACCTTGCTACTCCCAACAGTAACACTAGTGGAACAAATGTGAATACTGAAGGCAATTCTGATATTCCTGCCAGTAACCTCAATTTAGAAATTCCTCCTGCTGGTGATAGATTTCATGTGAACGAACATCCTATGATCACAAGGGGAAAGCGTGGTATTTACAAACCAAAAGCTTTCTCCTGTCATTTTGATGAGGTCGTTCCCTCCACTGTAGATGAAGCACTACAGTCACCCAAGTGGGCTGCTGCTGTTCAAGAAGAGTTTGATGCTCTTATAAGAAACGACACCTGGACTCTTGTTAAACTCCCTCCAGGTCGTGTTGCATTAGGGTGTAAGTGGCTATTTAAGGTAAAACGTAACCTAGATGGTTCAGTTCATAGATACAAGGCACGCCTGGTTGCCAAAGGTTTCTCGCAGGTTCTTGGACAATACTATTTGGACACCTTCAGTCCTGTTGTAAAGTTTACAACACTGAACATTATATTGTCTGTTGCTGTAGCCAATGATTGGGAATTAAGACACATCGATATCAACAACGCTTTTCTTAATGGTGATCTAAGAGAAGCAGTTTTCATGCAGCAACCACCTGGTTTTGTACAATCCGCAACAGATGGTTCGCCTCTTGTATGTCAACTGTAGAAGGCGCTTTATGGATTGAAGCAGGCTCCTCGCAACTGGCATACAAAACTAAAGGATGTGCTTCTACAAATTGGCTTTCAAGTGTCTCGAGCTGACACCTCACTATTTTTCTCAATATCAGGTACCGAACATATCTATCTTCTAGTCTACGTGGATGATATAGTAATCACAGGGTCATCATCATCCTTGATTAATAAGATTGTGAGCACGCTTCGAGATACTTTTTCACTCAAAGACCTAGGGCCTCTCAGCTATTTTTTGGGAATAGAAGTAAAACGGTGTGGTAGTTCTTTAATGCTTAGCCAAAAGAAATTTATCTTAAAACTGTTGGAGAAAGTTGGCATGGAAAAATCTTCACCATGTGCAACGCCTATGATTCTGGCACCCAAACTAGCTGAATATGGTGAGCCATTGGCTAATGCTACAATGTTTCGGTCCATTGTTGGATCATTACTATATGTTTGTTACACCAGGCCAGAGCTAGCATTTAGCGTTGGGAAGGTGGCCCAATTTATGCATGCTCCCACTGCAAGTTATTTCCCAGCTGTCAAACGAATTCTGAGGTATCTTGCAGGAACTCTTGAGTATAGATTAATGTTCCTGCCATCCAAGGCACGGTATGTCGTTTCTGCGTTTGCTGATGCTGACTGGGGTGCCAATGTTTCTGATCGTCGCTCAATTTCAGGTTTTGTGTGTTCATTGACAACCACCTGGTTGCCTGGAGCTCCAAGAAACAAAAAATTGTGTCACGTTCTACCATGGAGGCTGAGTACAAAAGTTTAGCTGATACCATAGCTGAAGTCACTTGGGTCAGTACACTAATTAGTGAACTTGGGTTGAAGCAACATGGAAAATCTGTTATCTGGTGTGACAACACAGGGGCTGTGGCAATGAGTTCCAATCCGGTTTACCATGCTCAATCAAAGCACGTGGATCTCGATGTGCACTTCATTCACGAAAAGGTAGCAGCTCAACAACTTTGTGTGAACTATATTCCTGCATCTCATCAAATTACAGATGGTTTTACTAAGCCCCTGTCCAAAGCAGCTTTTGAAATGTTTCAA